GTCTTGGGTTTCTTTGAGGCCTTGCTTGGTCTTACCTTGGGCCATCTTGGAGCCATCTTGAGGCTTCGGATGGCCAGCGAAAGCAACATTGCTGCCCCCTTACGTGTTCGAAGGATCTTGGCATGTTTGGGACCTCTTTTGGGGTTTCCGTGTCAATTCGGAGCCGTCGTGGGGCGGCCTGGGGGTCTCTTGGAGCATCTTGGTGGCCATCTTGCGGCACATTTGATTATCTTTAGACATCTTGGAGGTCATATAGGACTCACACAGGTCCGTTTGGAGTCATCTCGGGCCAGCTTGGACGTTCTGACCGTTCGCCTTATGCGGTAACAGTGTGTTAGTGTGTGATAATACGTATGATAGCACACATGACTACACCTCTTATAGCACACGTGGTATCAATGATGCGCGTTTGAAGTATATTCTGACAACGCACAAGGGGAACACATGTAGCCGCACATTCAACATGCGAGACGTCATATACGATGCATATACGGAACGTATACGAAGCGTATACGAAGCATCTACGAAACAATCCGAAGCAGATACGATTCTAATGCGAATCACGTGGCGGACGCATACGAAACACATGCGAAACAAATACGGAACACATACGAAATGTCATCGTCTCCGTCGTACTCGCCACGATCGCGTCGAGGAACGTGCACCGACTCAGTACGAATCCCGGCTCCCACAAACACGGGAGCAACATGAACCCTTAGAAGAAGACATTTTGAATCCTTATGTTTCGTTATATATGATGCATTCATAAGGGCGGCCGGGATTTGTCCGAGTTCGGGGGTGGCGTAGCCAGGATTGGTCCCAGTCGGCCGGGATTTGCCTCAGTTGGCCGTGGCAACTCGGAGCCGTCGTGGGGCGGCCTGGGGGTCTCTTGGAGCATGTTGGGAGCCATGTTGCGGCACATTTGATTATCTTTAGACATCTTGGAGGTCATATAGGACTCACACAGGTCCGTTTGGAGTCATCTCGGGCCAGCTTGGACGTTCTGACCGTTCGCCTTATGCGGTAACAGTGTGTTAGTGTGTGATAATACGTATGATAGCACACATGACTACACCTCTTATAGCACACGTGGTATCAATGATGCGCGTTTGAAGTATATTCTGACAACGCACAAGGGGAACCCATGTACACATGTAGCCGCACATTCAACATGCGAGACGTCATATACGATGCATATACGGAACGTATACGAAGCGTATACGAAGCATCTACGAAACAATCCGAAGCAGATACGATTTCCATACGAATCACGTGGCGGACGCATACGAAACACATGCGAAACACATACGAAACACATACGGAACACATACGAAATGTCATCGTCACCGTCGTACTCGCCACGATCGCGTCGCAGCACCACAAAAGGAACGTGCACCGACTTAGTACTAATCCTGGCTCCCACAAACACGGGAGCAACATGAACCCTTAGAAGAAGACAATTTGAATCCAGATGTATATGTATCTTCATATATGATGCATTCATAAGGGCGGCCGGGATTTGTCCGAGTTCGGGGGTGGCGTAGCCAGGATTGGTCCTAGTCGGCCGGGATTTGCCTCGGTTGGCCGGGATTTGCCCCACTTTTTTTCTGGACCCCCTCCCTTGGACCTGGACGTGGCCGGTCGCGGGTAATTAGGGTTCCCAAGATGCCCAAGACGGCTCCAAGATGGCCTCAGGGAGCCCAAGATGACCTCCAGGATAGCTCAAGATATCTTAATATGCCTCAAGATGGTTTCCGAAGATGCTCCAAGAGGCCCCAATAACGTTCCAAGACAGTCCCAAGTGGCCAAATAGCGCCCCAAAGAGGCCCCGAAGAGGCCCAAAAGAGCCCCGAGGCTTCAGGATAGTTCCAAGATGGGCCAACAGGGCCCCGAGAGAGGCCCAAAAGAGCCCCGAGGCTGTTCCAAGAGCACCCCAGGAGCGCCCCAAGAGGCGACCTTGGGTCCCAACAGGTCCCCAAGCCGCTCCAAGAGAGTCCCGTATCGTAACATGATCAGGCGTCAAGAGGCCCCCGGTCCCAAGAGGTCCTCAATCCGCTCTAAGAGAGTTCCGAATCGCGACATGATCAAGAGGCAAGAGAACTCGAGAGGCCCTAGAGATGCCCCGAGAGTTTTTGAAATGCCCCCGGAGTCGTATCGTAGTCGAAATATTAACATCGGTAAACGCCGTGGTAGTTGTAGTAGTTGTCGTAGTAGTACCCCTAGTAGTAGCAACGGTATTGGCAGTGGTCGTGGTAGTGGTAGTGGTAGTATTAGTAGTAGTTGTTGATGATGTTGCTGTATCATCGCTAGTCGTAGTGGTTGATCGTGGTAGTGGTAGTGGTAATGGTAGTGGTAGTAGTAGAAGTAGTAGTAGTAGTAGTAGTAGTAGTAGTAGTAGTAGTAGTAGTAGTGGTCGTAGTAGTGGTAGTAGCGGTATTGGTAGTTGCAAGTGGTAGTGGTATTGGTATTGGCAGCAGCAGTAGTAGTAGTAGTAGTAGTAGTAGTAGTAGTAGTAGTAGCAGTAGTAGTAGTAGTAGTAGTAGCAGTAGTAGTAGTAGTATCGGTAGTAGTCGTGGTAGTGTGGTGGTAGTAGAAGTAATCGTAGTAGTCGCGGGGTTCGGAGCGCAAATGTTGTGGTTGGATGGCTGTGCTAAGGTGTTGGAGTCGTTGATGCTAAGGTGTGAGGCGGAAGCGAGCGTCGCCGATGAACCGATAAACCGATTAACCTTTAGTAATAGTAGTTGTAGTACTAGGCTACGCGCGCAAGGGTTGTGGTTAGGAGAGCCAGGCTAAGGTGTTATTATCGTTGATGCTGAGGTGTGAGGCCGATAAACCGATAAACCGATCAACGCCTAGTAGTATTAGTAGGTAGTAGTAATAGAGTACTACAGTAGTGGTAGTTTCTGTAGTCGTTAGTATAGTGGTAGTAGTAGTGGGCAACCGATAGACCGATAAACCGATAAACGTCTCCCGAACAGAGAATCCATCGTGGAGGCACGGGGCGGGTTTCGTGGTTTATCGGTTTTCATGGTTGTCGGCCGATAAACCGATAAACCGATAACCCGGGTACACCGGCCAATTGGTAACAGGGACGCTCGCGGTCGGTATATCGGTTTTTCGGTTGATTTTTTTTATCAACCGATAAAACGATTACATTATATCGGTTTTTCGGTTGATCGGTTTGAAAACCGATCAACCGATTTGTTTGTATCGGTGTATCGGTTTATCGGTCGTAGTTTTTCCGGGCGCCGCCTGCCACAGCATTATACATATATATATATATACACGTGTGTGTATGAATATGTGTACGTACGTATGTATGTATGTATGTATGTATGTATGTGTGTATGTATGTATGTATGCATGTATGTATGTATGTATTTATGTATGTATGTATGTATGTATGTATGTATGTGTATATGTATATATGTGTATACATGCATGCATGCATGCATGCATGTATGTATGCATTCATGTATGTTTGTGTGTACGTATTCGCGTATGTATGTATGTACGTATGCATGTATGTGTGTATGTATGCATACACGCATGTTTGCATGTATGTAGGTGCATGTGAATATGTATGTCTGCATGCATGTATGCATGCGTGCATGCGTGCGTGCGTGCGTGCATGCATGCATGCATGTTTACACTTGCATAGATACATATACATACATGTTCCAAAGCCCGCGTCGCATCGCCGATGCATCGCCCATGCGGCTTGATGTGGAGCCAGGGGCCCCGCGGTTCCCCGGGACCCATCCCATCTGGGGGGGCGGGGCCCGCAGGCTAGGAGTTTTGGAACATGTAACACCGCGTCGTTTGGTCGGCCACGGAGCCAGTGGACTCGGCGAAGGCATCGGGTGCATGGACGCTCCAGCCAGGCGCGTTGGCTCTGTGCCGTCTGCTCGACCTGCTCCGCCCCGACGCTGCGCGCGAGGCCGCGATCGCCAAAAAGTACGGACGCTCCAGCGTCCCACAGCTTGGGCAGCTGGGGCGTCTACGAGCCGAGCTCCCCTGCCGACCAAGCGACGTACACCGAGCCCCTCCCAGGGCGTGGGTGGTGGCCGTGTCTCTGGCCTGGCAGGATTGTTCGAGGCGCTTGCCAGGATTGTTCGAGGCGCTGGCTTGGATATCGGCGACAGTCGCAGCACCCCGAGATCCGAGCGCTGCAGTGTTTTCACACCTTGCGTTGTGGCCTGGTGTCGGGCCCCGGGGCCATCACAGATCCATCCTGCTCGACAAATGCAGCAGGGTGATAGGGTCTAGGGTGAAGACGTTCCAACATATTTCAGCCTTGACCACCAGAGCGAATTTCGAGCGCCAAGAAAATGCCGACACTGGAGGGTGTTCACGTGCTGGGCCCTGGCAGGCGATATTCGTTCGACATTTCGCCAGCGTGTCGGGCAGACACTGTCTCGATACTTGCCTGGGTGCTCGACAGCACATTTCTGGAGTATGGTCCTTAAGGACGATGGGAGCAACATAAGTCCAGGGCTCTGGTCGCGACTGTTTGCGATGGTGCATCTATTTTCTGGCGGCGAGCGAGGGAGACAGTGAGAAGGAGGAGGCTTTCTCAAAAGGTTCGGAAGTCCACCAGCCTTATGGTATAGGTGTCCTAAGCCTTCCCCGGAGATACAGAAAACTTCCTGGAAGGCGCGAGGGCTCCTGAGAAGTCCCGCCGCCTTCTGAGAAGGCCACCTCCTTCTCACTTCCGCCCCTCGCTCGCCGACGGGCTCTGGTCGCGACTGTCTGCGATGTTGCATCTATCTTGCAGCGTCGGACCTCGGGGCAGGCCCCCGGGGCTCTCCCAGGACCTCTGCTCGAGGGGCCCAGGCCCCGTGGATAGGGAGAGACGGGGCAGTCTGCCCGGGCATTCGCGCGTAAGCTGCACGCGTCAGGTCGCGCGTAAGCGCCCTCGTTTTCCTTTTGTAGCGTTCCGCGCTGGCTCAGAGGAGGACAGGGTACCCACGCCGCTACCCTTCCCTCGTTTTCTGCAGATGCTGGCCGCTGGAGGGCGCCACACGGTGCTGCTCAGGAGCGACGGCACCGCCGTGGCCTGCGGCAGCAATCATAGTGGTCGGTGCGACCTCCCGGCGCTGCCCGCGGGCCTGACCTACGCGCAGGTCGCCGCTGGAGACAGCCACACGGTGCTGCTCAGGAGCGACGGCACCGCCGTGGCCTGCGGCTGGAATCTTCATGTTGAGTTCGACCTCCCGGCGCTGCCCGCGGGCCTGACCTACGCGCAGGTCGCCGCTGGAGAGAGCCACACGGTGCTGCTCAGGAGCGACGGCACCGCCGTGGCCTGCGGCTGTAATGGTCATGGTCGGTGCGACCTCCCGGCGCTGCCCGCGGGCCTGACCTACACGCAGGTCTCCGCTGGACAGAGCCACACGGTGCTGCTCAGGAGCGACGGCACCGCCGTGGCCTGCGGCAGCAATCATAGTGGTCGGTGCGACCTCCCGGCGCTGCCCGCGGGCCTGACCTACACGCAGGTCGCCGCTGGACAGAGACACACGGTGCTGCTCAGGAGCGACGGCACCGCCGTGGCCTGCGGCTGGAATCTTCATGGTGAGTGCGGCCTCCCGGCGCTGCCCGCGGGCCTGACCTACACGCAGGTCGCCGCTGGCCGGATCTACACGGTGCTGCTCAGAAGCGACGGCACCGCCGTGGCTTGCGGCAGCAATCATAGTGGTCGGTGCGACCTCCCGGCGCTGCCCGCGGGCCTGACCTACACGCAGGTCGCCGCTGGAGAGAACCACACGGTGCTGCTCAGGAGCGACGGCACCGCCGTGGCCTGCGGCAGCAATCATGGTGGTGAGTGCGACCTCCCGGCGTTGCCCTCGGGCCTAACCTACACAGCTCATTTGTGTCCAGCGCTGCTCCTGCAGGTGTCGCTCGATGGCGGCTCAATGGTTTTCGTGACCATCGGCGGGGTGGAGCGATGCAGGATCAGGGCGGCGCCCACCGCCCGCCTCGCAGACATCTACCTCCAGCTCGTGGCCGAGCACCGCGAGGGCAGGCTGGGCCCCGGAGCCTGGCGCGTCGAGGCGATCCTGCCGGGGGGCCGCCCGCTCAGCAGCGCCGCGGCCGAGGAGACGGTCGCCGACGAATTTCCCGCCGCAGCCTGAAGCGCAGGGCGGCGTTCGTATAAACAGAGCGCGTGCCGTTTGCTGCCAGGGCAGGTGCGCGACATCGCCGACGCGGCGCCGACCCCATGCCGCCCCTTGCCGACGCGATGCGGCCTTCCAGCGGCAGGAACGGCGTCGTATGTCTGTTGTCTTGTCGCCGTGCAGTTTCCCTCGGGACGTGGCCCCCGCCCAGGCCCCCGATGCTACCTTTTTTTGACTTTCTCCATGCGGGCCCCCCCGGAGGTCTGGACCTTCTTCTCAAGCAGTGGCGAAGCGTTCTGGCTCGCCTATAGGCATACCAAAGAATGTTATGAGATTTTGTTTTGGTTTGCACGAAGTGTTCTTTGAATCTGTCTGGCTGAGCCTGTCTTGTTTTAACACATCGGGCTTTTGCTCTAAGAACACTGCTTTTGTACTTCGAACATTTTTGGGTTCTAAGACTATATCGTGGTAGGCCTATAGAAATGCTGGGACGGTCGGTCCCTGCTCAATCTTCCTTGGGGCCAGCTGCTCATCCCGACTCCGTTTTACCCGCGGCCCCCCGGGGCTCGGCCAGGGCCCCAGCTAGGCCGGGCGCCGCGGAGCGCCTCCGCCTCGAGCTGCTCGGGGCGCGGGGGCAGGCCCGGCAGGGCCCCGCGCGGCCCCAGTCGCCCCGGGGGGCGCCTGGGGCGGGCCCGAAGGGCGCAGGGCTGGGGCGGAGGGGGGCTCGGGCCGCCCGCTCTGCGGCCTTCGCGCCCGTCGCGGCGCTCCCGCGGAGCGGCGGGGGCGTCGCGGCGGCCTGTGCCCATCAGCTCTTCTTCCTCCTCCTCCTCCTCCTCCTCCTCCTCCTCCTCCTCCTCCTCCTCTGCGGTCCTGCATCCTTACGCACCCCAAGAAGCCCACTCCAGCGTTTTCCCCTCCTCCCTCGCCTCGGCACCCCTGCCGCCTCCTCGCGTGATGCTCGCACGGCTATGCTTCGCCACCCACAGTGGAAGCAAGTCCCCATGGTGTTGTTGGCAGCACGCTCGCATAGGTGGACACAGCATGTCGCCTGCTAAGTGGTTTCTATGAGTCCAGGCCTTCTTATGCGACACATGGCGTGCATCAAGCGATCTTGCACTGTGTGATGCAGCGCAAGTGCCCATCAGCTCTAGGGCCTCCTGGGAGGCCCTCGGCACCGCGGCTGGACTCGCCGCGAAAGTCGGGCCAGGGCGCGCCCCAGGACAGGTCTGGGGGGAAGCTGTAATTCTTGTTTTTTGGGGGTTCCGCGCCGACGCCTTCGTGCCCAGGCCTAGAGATCCGAGTCTTCAGCGAATCAGAGGAGCGGTTGATGTTTGGTCTGCCCGTGTTCCGGGGCCTTCTCCAGGCCCCGGGACCGTCAACAAACGACTCAGGATGCAAAGCCTGCCCTCTGTAGGCAAGCTGTCCAGACCTTCGGGGGTCCTCTCATCGAAGACATTGAAGCGCCGAGCGTCTGGGGGACAGCGTTGCGGGGAGCGGGGGGTAAACAGGCTCAGGGGAGGGGAAGGACTTGACTTGGAGGCGCAAGAGGTCACGATGTGTTGCGATCCAGGATTTCCAGGGCCTTCCGGACGCTCCAGGGTTCTAGGGGGGCTGCAGAAACGAAGGTGCTCCGACGCCATGGTTGTGACGTACCGCCGATGACAGGTTGCTCTGCCCCCCTGAGCTCTTCCCCCTCCCCCCCTGATGTTCCCTCTCACCCCCGCTCTGGTCCCCACTCTCCAAGAAGAACGACTCGGAGGAGGAAAAGGCACCCATACCGCTACCCTGCCCTCGTGTGCGCCTTTCTGGGCCTCCTGGGAGGCCCTCGTCCCCACCGCTGGATTCGCCTTGCAAACATCGGCCCGAGATGTTCAAACCCGTCCTTTCTTGGCGCCGAAGGCGCCAGAGACATCTTCCGAACCCACAGCCCTATGAGCCATACGGCCTCTGCGGCCTAAGCCAGCCTCTTGAGCTCTATGCACACTGGGTCCTCCGATCCCTATACGCCCGAAGGTCCAAGGGCCTCCCATGAACCCTACGACAGCGACAAGCATTGCCGACCAACGGTCCCTGAACGATTCCCAGGCGCCATGCGACCAAGGTTGTAAAGGCGAAACACAGCGAGCCAGCACATCCCTGTGTATATATATATATATATGTATATATGTAGTCATGATGGTGTGTGTGTATTTATATATGTATGCATGTATGCATGCATGCATGCATGTATGTATGCATGCATGCATGCATGCATGTATGTATGTATGTATGTATGTATGTATGTATGTAATTGTGTATGTATGTATGTATGTATGCATGCATGCATGTATGTATGTATGTATGTATGTGGGTGGGTCGATAGGTGGATGTGTGTATGTGTGTATGTATGTAAGTATGTGTGCATGTATGCATGCATGCATGCATTCATGTATGTATGTATACATATGCGTTTGTATATATATAGTTATGATTGTGTGTATGTATGTAAGCATATATATGTATATATATTTATGTGTCCATGCATGTATGTATGCATGTATATATATATATGTATACATTTATGTGTGTACATATTCGTGTATGTATGTATATATGTGTGTGTATGTATGTATGTATGTATGTATGTATGTATGTATGTATGTATGTATGTATGTATGTATGTGTATATATGTATGTATGTATATGTGTATGCATGTATGCATGTGTGTATGTATGTGTATATGTGTATGCCTGCCTGCCTGCCTGCCTGCCTGCATGTATGTATGTATGTATGTATGTATGTATGTATGTATGTATGTATGTATGTATGTATGTATGTATGTATGTATGTATGTATGTATGTATGTATGTGTGTGCGTATGCATGTGCGTATGTATGCATACATGCGTGTCTGTCTGTCTGTCTGTCTGTCTGTCTGTCTGTCTGTCTGTATGCATGCATGCATGCATGCATGCATGCATGCATGCATGTATGTATGTATGTATGTATGTATGTATGTATGTATGTATGTATGTATGTATGTAGTTGCATGTGATTATGTATGTCTGTATGCATGTATGCATGCGTGCGAGCGTGCGTGCGTGCGTGCATGCATGCATGCATGTATACATGTGTAGACATACATATACATACATGTTCCAAAGCCCGCGTCGCATCGCCGATGCATCGCCGATGCGGCTCGATGTGGAGCCAGGGGGCCCGCGGTTCCCTGGGACCCATCCCATCTGGGGGTGCGGGGCCCGCAGGCCAGGAGTTTTGGAACATGTAACACCAGTGGAGCCAGTGGACTCGGCGAAGGCATCGGGTGCATGGACGCTCCAGCCAGGCGCGTTGGCTCTGTGCCGTCTGCTCGACCTGCTCCGCCCCGACGCTGCGCGCGAGGCCGCGATCGCCAAAAAGTACGGACGCTCCAGCGTCCCACAGCTTGGGCAGCTGGGGCGTCTACGAGCCGAGCTCCCCTGCCGACCAAGCGACGTACACCGAGCCCCTCCCAGGGCGAGGGTGGTGGCCGTGTCTCTGGCCTGGCAGGATTGTTCGAGGCGCTTGCCAGGATTGTTCGAGGCGCTGGCTTGGATATCGGCGACAGTCGCAGCACCCCGAGATCCGAGCGCTGCAGTGTTTTCACACCTTGCGTTGTGGCTTGGTGTCGGGCCCCGGGGCCATCACAGATCCAACCTGCTCGACAAATGCAGCAGGGTGATAGGGTCTAGGGTGAAGACGTTCCAACATATTTCAGCCTTGACCACCAGAGCGAATTTCGAGCGCCAAGAAAATGCCGACACTGGAGGGTGTTCACGTGCTGGGCCCTGGCAGGCGATATTCGTTCGACATTTCGCCAGCGTGTCGGGCAGACACTGTCTCGATACTTGCCTGGGTGCTCGACAGCACATTTCTGGAGTATGGTCCTTAAGGACGATGGGAGCAACATAAGTCCAGGGCTCTGATCGCGACTGTTTGCGATGGTGCATCTATTTTCTGGCGGCGAGCGAGGGAGAAAGTGAGAAGGAGGAGGCTTTCTCAAAAGGTTCGGAAGTCCACCAGCCTTATGGTATAGGTGTCCTAAGCCTTCCCCGGAGACACAGAAAACTTCCTGGAAGGCGCGAGGCTCCTGAGAAGTCCCGCCGCCTTCTGAGAAGGCCACCTCCTTCTCACTTCCGCCCCTCGCTCGCCGACGGGCTCTGGTCGCGACTGTCTGCGATGTTGCCTCTATCTTGCAGCGTCGGACCTCGGGGCAGGCCCCCGGGGCTCTCCCAGGACCGCTGCTCGAGGGGCCCAGGCCCCGTGGATAGGGAGAGACGGGGCAGTCTGCCCGGGCATTCGCGCGTAAGCTGCACGCGTCAGGTCGCGCGTAAGCGCCCTCGTTTTCCTTTTGTAGCGTTCCGCGCTGGCTCAGAGGAGGACAGGGTACCCACGCCGCTACCCTTCCCTCGTTTTCTGCAGATGCTGGCCGCTGGAGACAGCCACACGGTGCTGCTCAGGAGCGACGGCACCGCCGTGGCCTGCGGCTGTAATGATCATGGTGAGTGCGACCTCCCGGCGCTGCCCGCGGGCCTGACCTACGCGCAGGTCGCCGCTGGAGACAGCCACACGGTGCTGCTCAGGAGCGACGGCACCGCCGTGGCCTGCGGCTTGAATCTTCATGTTGAGTTCGACCTCCCGGCGCTGCCCGCGGGCCTGACCTACGCGCAGGTCGCCGCTGGAGAGAGCCACACGGTGCTGCTCAGGAGCGACGGCACCGCCGTGGCCTGCGGCTGTAATGGTCATGGTCGGTGCGACCTCCCGGCGCTGCCCGCGGGCCTGACCTACACGCAGGTCTCCGCTGGACAGAGCCACACGGTGCTGCTCAGGAGCGACGGCACCGCCGTGGCCTGCGGCAGCAATCATAGTGGTCGGTGCGACCTCCCGGCGCTGCCCGCGGGCCTGACCTACACGCAGGTCGCCGCTGGACAGAGACACACGGTGCTGCTCAGGAGCGACGGCACCGCCGTGGCCTGCGGCTGGAATCTTCATGGTGAGTGCGGCCTCCCGGCGCTGCCCGCGGGCCTGACCTACACGCAGGTCGCCGCTGGCCGGATCTACACGGTGCTGCTCAGAAGCGACGGCACCGCCGTGGCTTGCGGCAGCAATCATAGTGGTCGGTGCGACCTCCCGGCGCTGCCCGCGGGCCTGACCTACACGCAGGTCGCCGCTGGAGAGAACCACACGGTGCTGCTCAGGAGCGACGGCACCGCCGTGGCCTGCGGCAGCAATCATGGTGGTGAGTGCGACCTCCCGGCGTTGCCCTCGGGCCTAACCTACACAGCTCATTTGTGTCCAGCGCTGCTCCTGCAGGTGTCGCTCGATGGCGGCTCAATGGTTTTCGTGACCATCGGCGGGGTGGAGCGATGCAGGATCAGGGCGGCGCCCACCGCCCGCCTCGCAGACATCTACCTCCAGCTCGTGGCCGAGCACCGCGAGGGCAGGCTGGGCCCCGGAGCCTGGCGCGTCGAGGCGATCCTGCCGGGGGGCCGCCCGCTCAGCAGCGCCGCGGCCGAGGAGACGGTCGCCGACGAATTTCCCGCCGCAGCCTGAAGCGCAGGGCGGCGTTCGTATAAACAGAGCGCGTGCCGTTTGCTGCCAGGGCAGGTGCGCGACATCGCCGACGCGGCGCCGACCCCATGCCGCCCCTTGCTGACGCGATGCGGCCCTCCAGCGGCAGGAACGGCGTCGTATGTCTGTTGTCTTGTCGCCGTGCAGTTTCCCTCGGGACGTGGCCCCCGCCCAGGCCCCCGATGCTACCTTTTTTTGACTTTCTCCATGCGGGCCCCCCCGGAGGTCTGGATCTTCTTCTCAAGCAGTGGCGAAGCGTTCTGGCTCGCCTATAGGCATACCAAAGAATGTTATGAGATGTTGTTTTGGTTTGCACGAAGTGTTCTTTGAATCTGTCTGGTTGAGCCTGTCTTGTTTTAACACATCGGGCTTATGCTCTAAGAACACTGCTTTTGTACTTCGAACATTTTTGGGTTCTAAGACTATATCGTGGTAGGCCTATAGAAATGCTGGGACGGTCGGTCCCTGCTCAATCTTCCTTGGGGCCAGCTGCTCATCCCGACTCCGTTTTGCCCGCGGCCCCCCGGGGCTCGGCCAGGGCCCCAGCTAGGCCGGGCGCCGCGGAGCGCCTCCGCCTCGAGCTGCTCGGGGCGCGGGGGCAGGCCCGGCAGGGCCCCACGCGGCCCCAGTCGCCCCGGGGGGCGCCTGGGGCGGGCCCGAAGGGCGCAGGGCTGGGGCGGAGGGGGGCTCGGGCCGCCCGCTCTGCGGCCTTCGCGCCCGTCGCGGCGCTCCCGCGGAGCGGCGGGGGCGTCGCGGCGGCCTGTGCCCATCAGCTCCTCCTCCTCCTCCTCCTCCTCCTCCTCCTCCTCCTCCTCCTCCTCTGCGGTCCTGCATCCTTACGCACCCCAAGAAGCCCACTCCAGCGTTTTCCCCTCCTCCCTCGCCTCGGCGCCCCTGCCGCCTCCTCGCGTGATGCTCGCACGGCTATGCTTCGCCACCCACAGTGGAAGCAAGTCCCCATGGTGCTGTTGGCAGCACGTTCGCATAGGTGGACACCGCATGTCGCCTGCTAAGTGGTTTCTATGAGTCCAGGCCTTCTTATGCGACACATGGCGTGCATCAAGCGATCTTGCACTGTGTGATGCAGCGCAAGTGCCCATCAGCTCTAGGGCCTCCTGGGAGGCCCTCGGCACCGCGGCTGGACTCGCCGCGAAAGTCGGGCCAGGGCGCGCCCCAGGACAGGTCTGGGGGGAAGCTGTAATTCTTGTTTTTTGGGGGTTCCGCGCCGACGCCTTCGTGCCCAGGCCTAGAGATCCGAGTCTTCAGCGAATCAGAGGAGCGGTTGATGTTTGGTCTGCCCGTGTTCCGGGGCCTTTTCCAGGCCCCGGGACCGTCAACAAACGACTCAGGATGCAAAGCTTGCCCTCTGCAGGCAAGCTGTCCAGACCTTCGGGGGTCCTCTCATCGAAGACATTGCAGCGCCGAGCGTCTGGGGGACAGCGTTGCGGGGAGCGGGGGGGAAACAGGCTCAGGGGAGGGGAAGGACTTGACTTGGAGGCGCAAGAGGTCACGATGTGCTGCGATCCAGGATTTCCAGGGCCTTCGGGACGCTCCGGGGTTCTAGGGGGGCTGCAGAGACGAAGGTGCTCCGACGCCATGGTTGTGACGTACCGCCGATGACAGGTTGCTCTGCCCCCTGAGCTCTTCCCCCTCCCCCCCTGATGTTCCCTCTCACCCCCGCTCTGGTCCCCACTCTCCAAGAAGAACGACTCGGAGGAGGAAAGGCACCCATACCGCTACCCTGCCCTCGCGTGCGCCTTTCTGGGCCTCCTGGGAGGCCCTCGTCCCCACCGCTGGATTCGCCTTGCAAACATCGGGTCCGAACGCACCCCGGGAGAGGTCCAGGGAGTAGCCGTATATCAGGAGGGGAAAAAACACACACACAGACACAATTAATCGTCGATTCCCAGGAAGATATGGGAAAATATGGGAAGTGGGGGGGAAGACAAAAACCAAGAAAATATTGGAACATGTCTTCTATTTGTGTCTATTTATTTGTGTGTCCCAGGGCCCCTTCAGTATATCGGTACCTCTTGGCTCCCCCAAGAGAAGCAGCACGGCACGCGAGCTTGCGGGGCTCTGCGCGCGGGTTCCTCGGATCTGCGCTTTCAAGGTCCCTGGCGGCGCCTCTGGCGCGCTCCTCTGGCGCGCTCCTCTGGCGCGCTCCGCCTCCTCCTCCTCCTCCTCCTCCTCCTCCTCCTCCTCCTCCTCCTCCTCCTCCTCCTCCTCCTCCTCCTCTCCCCCCCCGCCCTCTCAGAAGGCAGCCCCCCGGCCTCTGGCGGCGCCTCTTCCGCGCCGATTCCAGAAGAGCGGCGCGTACCTTCGAGAGCTTAGCTTAGCACCCGTGCGCTCGGGGTGCTCTCCGGAAGCTGCGCCTCGCCGAGGCCCTTCCAGGGTGCCCGGACGGGCTCCGGAGAGCTGTTGGCGGGGGCCAGGGCCCCTTTGCCTCCCCCTGGGCACCCAAACGCTGCACTGGCTTGAGATCCCGGGATGCTTCGAGGTCGCGCTCATCATCCGTAGGGCTCCGTGCGTCTAGGCTTCCTAGATGGGGTCGGAGGATCGCGCCGCATCGCCGATGCATCGCCGATGCGGCTCGATGTGGAGCCCGATTTGCCTCACGTCGACGTCGCCGATGCACCGCCAACATCGACGATGCGTCGCCGGTGCATCGCCGATGCATCGCCGATGCATCGCCGGTGCATCGGTGATGCATCGGTGATCTGGCGCGATCCTCCGACCCCATCTACTCTAACCCCATGTGTATATGTACAATATACAGAGTAACACACACATATATAATGCTATACTATGCTATTCTGCGCTGTGTTGTGCTCTGCTGTGCTGCGCTATGCTATGCTATGCTATGCTATGGTATGCTGTGCTGCGCTATGCTACGCTATGCTATGCTGTGCTATGTTATGATAAAGCTCAGCGAAGCTAAGATGAAGGTAAGCTAAACTAAGATAAACCTGAGCTAAGGTGAAGCTAAGCTAAGCTAAGATGAAATAAGCTAAGCTAAGATGAGATAAGCAACGCTAAGCTAAGGGGACGTAACTGGGGGAACCGAGGTGTGGATCCTGGGGGAACCGCCCGGGGCGAAGCCCACTGCCCGGCCCTTTTAAGATAGAGAGTAAGAACCCTTCTAGGCAGAGCCTAGGTCGGGAAATAGTTAGGGGACGATGTTTCAAGTATTTCTGCGCATTTTTGCAGCATTGTTTGATTATCTTAAGTTTTTCGCCCACATCGACGATGCGTCGCCGGTGCACCGCCAACATCGACGATGCGTCGCCGGTGCATCGCCGATGCATCGCCGATGCATCGCCGGTGCATCGGTGATGCATCGGTGATCTGGCGCGATCCTCCGACCCCATCTACTCTAATCCCATGTGTATATGTACAATATATAGAGTAACACACACACATATATATATATATATATAATGCTATGCTATGCTATTCTGCGCTGTGCTGTGCTCTGCTGTGCTGCGCTATGCTATGCTATGCTATGCTATGGTATGCTGTGCTGCGCTATGCTACGCTATGCTATGCCGTGCTCTGCTATGATAAAGCTCAGCGAAGCTAAGATGAAGGTAAGCTAAACTAAGATAAACCTGAGCTAAGATGAAGCTAAGCTAAGCTAAGATGAAATAAGCTAAGCTAAGGTGAGATAAGCAACGCTAAGCTAAGGGGACGTAACTGGGGGAACCGAGGTGTGGATCCTGGGGGAACCGCCCGGGGCGAAGCCCACTGCCCGGCCCCTTTAAGATAGAGAGTAAGAACCCTTCTAGGCAGAGCCTAGGTCGGGAAATAGTTAGGGGACGATGTTTCAAGTATTTCTGCGCATTTTTGCAGCATTGTTTGATTATCTTAAGTTTTTCGCCCACATCGACGATGCGTCGCCGGTGCACCGCCAACATCGACGATGCGTCGCCGGTGCATCGCCGATGCATCGCCGATGCATCGCCGGTGCATCGGTGATGCATCGGTGATTTGGCGCGATCCTCCGACCCCATCTACTCTAATCCCATGTGTATATGTACAATATATATAGAGTAACACACACATATATATATATATATATGTATAATGCTATGCTATGCTATTCTGCGCTGTGCTGAGCTCTGCTGTGCTGCGCTATGCTATGCTATGCTATGCTATGGTATGCTGTGCTGCGCTATGCTACGCTATGCTATGCCGTGCTCTGCTATGATAAAGCTCAGCGAAGCTAAGATGAAGGTAAGCTAAACTAAGATAAACCTGAGCTAAGGTGAAGCTAAGCTAAGCTAAGATGAAATAAGCTAAGCTAAGATGAGATAAGCAACGCTAAGCTAAGGGGACGTAGCTGGGGGAACCGAGGTGTGGATCCTGGGGGAACCGCCCGGGGCGAAGCCCACTGCCCGGCCCCTTTAAGATAGAGAGTAAGAACCCTCCTAGGCAGAGCCTAGGTCGGGAAATAGTTAGGGGACGATAATTCAAGTATTTCTGCGCGTTTTTGCAGCATTGTTTGATTATCTTAAGTTTTTCGCCCAAAATCCGCCCCGCCCCTGGGAGGACACGCCCGACCTGACGATGGCCCCACTCCGCCCGTGTCGGCATGCCGCCGATCCGTCGGCGCGAAGTGCCGCGGCTCCCAGGCCGAGGTTCCCCCCGAGCCGGCCCGCCCCTGCCTCTGCGAGGCTGCCACTCCCGGGAGGCTCAGCTCAGCATCGGCGCTGGTAGATTTGAGTCGGGCCTGTCCCAAGATAGTCCCTCTACAGGAGGAAAATTCAAAGATAGTCCAAAAATAGTCTGGGGGACGACTGTTCTACTATTTTTTACCGTTTTGAGCATTTCATCCAAAATCCAAAATCCAGCTGTAGAGGGACATGCCCGACCTAATGGTAGATCCGTGCTTGCAACAGTGCACCATCCGGCTTGTCCCGCTCGCTCCGGCTTATTCCTGCCAAGTGCGCTGCAGGAGGGGAAAACACAGGGACACAATGAAACGTCGATTCCCCAGAAGATTTGGGAAAATATGGGACGTGTGGGGGAAGACGAAAGTCAAAACATATGAGAAAATATGGGGAATCCTTGGATGTGTGTATTTATTTGTGTGTCCCTGGGCCCCTTCAACGCTTTACTTAGGGCCACAGCGGCCCCTTACTCTGGCCCAGCAGCCATCAACCGTTCTTGCGAAGACCTCCCAGGAGTTGTTGGGAGTACGGGAAAAGCTTGTACAAAGGCCGACAGCAGTTCCTGCTCATTCCCAACAAGACTCAGTGTCGGCGTCGCCGCGGTCGTTGTCCATCTGAGACACAAGCTCGCCTGCCCAACAGTGGCCGCTGTCGGTTTTGGACAACGCCTGTTGTTAGGCCTTGTGCCCGTGTTTCCCGCATTCTCTCCAAGCGTCCAAATACGATAGGTTCGTGTTGCGTTGGCGCGCCAGCGACGCGGGCGGAGGCGTTCAAGGTTGAATTTTGCCACGCGGAAGCACCGATGGGCACCGTAAAGCCAGTTGACCCGATTGAATTCAATTTTGAACGATCGGGGCCGCCATCGCTTCAAGGTTGAACGATCGGCGCGGTGTCACAATCTTTTGCGCGCGCCGTGGCCGCACAAACGCCTAACGCACATTCCGACCCTCCCACGCCAACCCGCGGCCATCCGCCATCAGACCCCTTGTCGCGCGAACGCGCGAACCAGACGTTCAAATCCAGACCCCCCGCGCCAGTGCGCAGACGAGCTGCCGTCGCCAACCCCCACTGCAAAAGCTGGACCCGGACGCGCGCGGACAAGTTGACGTCGACCCCCATCGGAGGGCACCCCCCACGCTTACAGTGGAGGCCCATGCCAAGAAGCACCCTGCTTGCCTCCAGGGTGCCATGGGTCTCTTGGGTTTCGATGGTTCTGCCACAGACGGTGCGACGCTCTCGCACCAAAAATCGTTGGGTTTCTTGTGGAAGGTTTCTTGTGGACTGGCCTCCGCTGTATGGAGTTCTGGTGGTGCTGGTGGCAGCTCTTTTTGCTCCCATGGGCAATCGCATACACATGAGTTTTCGGGGGTCCGCGCGGCTCGCGTGGGTCTGCGCTGGACAACCTCCCCTTCCTTGCGGCGCGGAGCCCGCCACAGGGGGGCTGCGTTCGAGGCCCTCGGGGCCCCGCCTTCTAACCAGTTGAGACGGATGGAACACATGGGGGAGGAGGAGGATGAGGAGGAGGAGGAGGAGGATGAGGAGGAGGAGGAGGCGGAGGAGGAGGCGGAGGAGGAGGAGGAGGAGGCGGAGGAGGAGGAGGAGTGAGGAGGAGGAGGAGGAGGAGGAGGAGGAGGAGGCGGAGGAGCGGAGGCGGAGGCGGAAACGGAGGAGTAGGAGGAGGGAGGAGGAGGAGGAGGAGGAGGAGGAGGGCGGAGGCGGAGGCGGAGGAGGAGGCGGAGGAGGAGGAGGAGGAGGAGGAGGAGGAGGAGTACCGAAAAGGCTGCCCCTCACCGAAGGCCATCGGGCTTCCGCGGGCCCCGCGAGGCGGCGCCCGGGAGCTCCTCGGCCGACGGGCTCCGGCGGCCCTCGCCTCCGAGCGCCCCGCGCGCACCCTCCAGTGGCGAGGTTCTCCGAAGGACTCAGGCGAAGCGTCCTCCTCCTCCTCCGCCTCCTCCCACTCCTCCGCCTCCTCCGCCTCCTCCTCCTCCTCCCTCCTACTCCCCACCTCCCTCTCCTCCTCCCCTCCTCCTCCTACTCCTCTATCCTCCCCTGCTTCTCCTTCTCCTCCCTCCCCCCCCTACTCCTCCACCTCCTCCTCCTCCTCCTCCTCCTCCTCCTCCTCCTCCTCCGCCACGGGTCGCCTACGGCCCCGAGCGCTCCGCGCACACCCACCAGGGCCGACACGCGCACCAAGAAATATCATAGCACCTATACGACCACCCCTCGGGCGATAGGGAGGTTGTGGGGGGGGAGAGGGGGGAACCAACATCTGACTCAATCGATCTCACTTTCGCACTTTCGATTTCACTCAACGGGACACCACGGGACTCCACTCTCACTCAACGGGACACCACGGGACACCGCGGGACACCGCGGGACACTTCTGGATCTCACTATCGGTCTCACTATGAATCTCACTATCGATCTCACTCAACGGGACACCATAGGACACCACGGACCACCACGGGACACCTCGGGACACCACATCGATCTCACTATCGATCTCACTCAACGGGACACCACGGGACACATGTCGATCTCATTATCGATCTCACTATCGATCTCACTTTTGGGGACACCACGGGACACTTCGGGGCACCACACCGATCTCACTATCGATCTCATTATCGACCTCACTATCGATCTCACTCGACGGAACACCACGGGACACCACGAGACACCACGGGACCATTGTCGATCTCACCATCGACTTCACTATCGATCTCACTTTTTGGGACACCACGGGACACCACGGGACGCTTCGGTGCACCACATCGATCTGAGTATCGATCTCACGATCGATCTCACTATCGATCTCACTATCGATCTCACTTAACGGGACACCACGGGACACCACGAGACACCCCGGGACACCGCGGGACACCGCTTGGCCCACCGCCGGACGGACGGACTGACGGACGGACGGGGGAGCAACATTTGTTTTGACTTTGCCCTAGCAACGTCGGACACCAGAGGACACCGCGGGACACCGCTGGGGCCACCGCCGGACGCACGGACGGACGGACGGACGGGGGAGCACATTTGTCTGGACTTCGCCTTAGCAACGGCTGGTTCATTCCTCTCGCGCGCCCACGCAGCTTCGCCTCGCCCGCAAGCACGGCACGAACGAAACCAAACGATTTCCCGGTTCGGGGTCTCCGTTCCCCTGCGATCTCACCCCCCCAACCTCCGATATGTGTCGTGGCGGGCGCTTTCTGGCCACACCGTTCGGGAAACTGTGTACATCAGGATGGGCATGCTATGCGTTCGGTTCGGGCGCGCGCCTCCAAGGAGGAGGAGGTACAGAACTTCGTATGCCTCTGTGCGCCCCTCACTGTAAAGGCTGCCCCTCGCCGAAGGCCGCCAGGCTCCGAGCCTCGCGAGGCGGCGCTGGTGCGGGCAAGACTTATATCCATATCCAGTGCGTCTTGAACTTTTTTGGAAGAAGCGCCTCAGGGCCGAGGCGCACTGGATATGGATAAAAACCTGGCCTCTACGGTGGGCAAATTTTTCCATATATACAGTGTGCCTCGGGTTTCTTGGTCAGGGAGCCCGAAACTCCATACAGTCGGACCGAGGTATAAGATCGAGTGCGGTTCGGGGAGGGTGCCCTTGTGTTCTTCGCGCTTGTTGGATGCTCCTGTGTATCCTGGGGAGGGTACCCTCGGGTGTTCTGTTTAATTTTGGCCGACGCAGGGTCTCATGTTCTTGAGGGGTGTTCTTCTGTCCCAGGTCCGCAGCAGTGTCATGTTCTTCTGTACTGCAGTGAATATGGACAGAAGTATATTGCCCGCAGCTGGGGCTCCTCGGCCGGCCGCTCTCCGACGCGCCCTCTCCGCCCCGAGCGCGCGACATATGCAGGAGCCCGACGGCGCCGCCGGGGCCGCGGCCGCGCCCGAGGACCCCCGCGCGCGCGGCCGCCAGGGGGTTTGCCGAGTTACCAGGGTTACCCCTCCTCCTCCTCCTCCTCCTCCTCCCCCTCCTCCTCCTCCTCCTCCTCCTCCTCCTCCTCCTCCTTCCCCTGCTTCTCCTTCTCCTTCTCCTCCTCCTCCTACTTCTCCTCCACCTCCTCCTCCTCCTCCTCCTCCACGGGTCGCCTGGGTTCCTGGGAGGCACGGCGATGTCGGGGAGTAAAGGGAATGGGATCCTTCGAGACTTCGCTGCTCTCTGGGGGGCTGCGAGCTGTGCACCAGTCGCCCTTTTTTCCGTTGGTTGCTGGGAGGTCCAGCGAAGTAGGGTATATTACGCGGATCCAGCCGAGACCTCGCGGGTGCTTGGGAGGTTGCGAAGTGCGCAATGGACGCCATTTTCGCAGGCTCGTAGCAGGCACGGCGGGGATGAGGGCAGCACAGATCGTGCACGTCTGGCGATGTGTTCTCGTGTATGGAGCGTTTATGCACAGGTGCCCCTCGCCCATCCCCGGAGATCTTTTGTTATCGCCACAGATCCGCCCTGCCGAGATCGAGGAGGAACGCCCAGCTTGAGCAGACCACGCACGTCGTCGGAGATCGGGGGCGGCCGCATCGCATGCACCGCACGGCAGACCTCGCACGCGTGTTGGCCCCCGAGAGTGTCGACCGGCCTCCAGCGGTGTACTCTCCCCGCGAAGCCGCGCCCCGCTCGCCGCCGCGCGAGAATCATGTCGTCGGAGATCTGCGTGTACAGTCAACCCGCACAGTTCCGAGGTTGATGGACCTCCTACCCTGACGCGTCGATTAGCGAGTTGGCAGTATTCGGTTCGCTAGAGGGCGCGCGGCCGTCATTTTTGCGGGTCCAGGTCCGTCGGTTTCGATCCGAGGTCGGTTTCTATAAATGGAGGTTTACTAAAGGGAGGTTTTTCCACCACCGAATAGTAAGCATGGGCAACCTTCCCGAGCGTACCTTTGCATCCTTGCCTCCTCGGCCCATCCTTGGCCACCCTCGCTGGCCGCGCCCCGCTCGAAGAGCTTCGAAATGGGCGTCCAAGGCTCTCGCATCCTTATCGCGCATCCTTCGGAGGTTGAGAGACCTCCTACCCTGACACGTCGATTAGCGAATTGGCCGTTCGCGAGAGGGCGTCGCGGCCGTCATTCTTGCGGGTCCAGGTCCGTCGGTTTCGCTCCTAGGCCGTTTTCTCTAAAGGGAGGTTTACTAAAGGGAGGTTTCCAGGAGGGGAAAAACACACACACACAGACACTATGAATCGTCGATCCCCAAGAAAAATGGGAAAACATGGGAGGTGGGGGGGAAGACAAAAACTTAGAAAATATGGGAACATATGGGGAATCCGGTCATTTGTGTCTATGTATTTCCGACGAAGGCATCTATACACCACCAGCGTGCCAGGCCAGGGCCATCCTGGGCCGTAGGATGGTGTATAGACCCTCCTGGCTCGGCCAGGAGGGGGTATACACCATCCTGGGGCCCAGGATGGCCCTGCCTTGGCACGGTGGTGATGTATAGATGCTTTCTGCGTATTATTTGTGTGTCCCAGGGCCCCCTCAGGCTTGTCCACCGCCGAAGCCTTCCTGCACGGGCCCACGCGCTCGCCAGAGGCCACCCACCTCCGCGCGCGGCCGGCAGGACTCGGGCGACGCGCGGCTGCGCGGCGCGCTGGGGGCGGCCGCAGCGGCCTCGGGGCAGCCGGAAGGCTGCCGCGCCCCCGCTCGGCGCCCGTTCTGAGAGGAGTGTGCGGGGCGTGAAAACGACCACAGCCACTGCTTTTCTTTTGTTGCCGCCTTCCGGCCCGCAGAAACAAAGCAGTGGTTGTGGTCATTTTCGTTGAGCTTGGCACCAGCGGAATGACCACAACCGCTGCTTCTTTTTCGGCCGGCTGGAATGCGGCGCAAACAAGAAGCAGTGGCTGTGGTCATTTTCCCGTTCCGCAGAGTGCCCCAGTCAGGGAGGAAAAACCTCCCCGACCGGGCAAGTGGCGTTTACTGAACGGCTTTGGGCGTTTACGAAACAGCCCGTTCTGAGAGGAGTGCCCCAGTCAAGGAAGGATAAGCCACCCGGTCCGGACAAGTGGCGTTTACTGACCGGCCCTGGGCGTTTACGAAGCAGCCCTGCCCGGTTCGATTCCTTCTCTGGGTGCGTTTGCAGAACGACTTCGCGTGTCGGGGTGGTTATTATCGGGGTGGATTTTCCGCCCTCTACCCGGGGCGGTACGATTGGTATTAAGTCGGGCGTGTCCCTCTATAGCAGGAACATCCAAAAATAGTAAAACAAATGCTCTGGGCACGATGTTTTCGGGCATGTTTTGATTTTTTAGTGGGGTATTTGTCGTTCAAAATCCGCCTGTAGGAGGGCATGCACGACCCAAGAGTAGTACGGAGATGGAAACGGAGTTGGCACGCGCGGGAAGACTGCGGTCGACGTACGACTCAGGCAACCCACCGCCCGCATTGGTCATGGGGCGGCGGGGCAGTGGCAGATGGACGTGGCATGAGCTTCCCTAACTTCTTCCGAGCCCTGCAGGTCGACCCCGCCAAGTCGTCAAGGGTACGCTAGTGTCCTGTGTGCAGTGGCCCATGCCTTCGAGTTTTCTATGGCAGTGTGGCCCTCGGAAGGTTCTTGTGTCCTCTCGCGTGTCCTCTCCAATCCAAAGAGGCTGCACGGAAAGAAGTGTCCCAGGTCGGTACGATCGAAGTTCGGTGCGATCGAGATAGGTGCGGAAGCAATCGGGTCATGCCGAAGACCGGCAGCAGTGTCCGCCCATTTTGAAGAGGACTCCCCGTTGGCGTGGCCGCGGGCGTTGTCCTCTCGAGGCAGAAGGGCGGTTGCCCCGAGCAGCGGCCGCTGCCGAATTTGCGAAGCACTTGTTGCTGGGCATCGTGCCCACGTTTCCGGACCCACTTCTGGCGTCCAGGGCGCCTCAGGTCGGCACGATCGAGATGGGTACAGTCGCGCCGAGGTATAAGAGCGAGGTCGGTTCGCGGAGGGCGCCCTAGTCTTCGTCGTGCTTGCTGTATATTTTTGTGCATCCCGGGGAGTGACGACCGAGGGTCCCATGTTCTTCGTGATCGCTTCATTAGTCGTTGTTTTGCCGATCGGCACGGGCCCGCGCACCCCCCCCTCCCCCCCCCCCGTGGAGCAGATCTTGGCTGTTTTCGGGGCGCCTGTTTCGAGCAGGTGGAGCCTCCCCCCATGATGGACGCCCTGTTGCTAACAAGTCGCGTCAAGCAGAGGTCAAGAGCCAATGCCGAAGCGCCGAGTAAAATCACGCCCACGAGGACGGTCTTCTGGCCCAGGTCCGGCTGTACCCGCTTCGAGCGCCCACGGTGTCCAAAGGTCGGGCACGATCGGCCTGGGCACCCGGGTCCCCCCCCCCGGGGGCGCGAAGACGCTCGAGCTCGGCGCGTCGCGGCCTGGGCCGGAGAGGCTTCCCTTCTCCACGGGGATGTCGCGTGAGGGCGCGAGGGCGCGAAGAGCATCGCGCGCCGCGCGTCTCGCCGGGCGCGGTTGTGCGAAGTGAGGCGACCTGGGCTGCGGAAGCCATGGGGGGACGGATGCGGGCAGTAGTTCCTGTCCATTCGATCGGAAGCCGCGCCATGGGGGGGCGATGAATATTGGGGGCAGGGCCCCCGAAGGGACCTCTTTGGGGTCCAAAGGGGGGGGGGGCCTCCCAGGGTCCGAGAACGGTACCTTTCCCCCCCCCATTGGTCGCCTCCCATTACTTCGTGCCCAATTTGAGGAAGAGACAACGGCACAAGCATACCCTTGCGGAATTCCGCGCGTATTTCTCGGAGCGGAGCCCCCCCTGCCTGGCGCGCTTCGCGCGCCAGGGAGGGGGGGGGGGTCGAGCGCCGATCCAAGGAATCCGCGCGGAGTTCCGAACGTCTCGGTGTACGTTCGGGCAGAGGTACAAGATCGAGGCCGTTTCGGGGAGGGTACCCTAGTGTTCTTCGTGTCTGTTGGGTGTTCTTGTGCATCCTGGGGAGGGTGTACCCTAGGCTGTTCTGTGTGTGTGTATTTTGGCCGGCGGAGGGTCTCATGTGCTTGAAGGATGTTCTTCTGTCTGACTGCATGCAGCTTTATCTTCATCCATCCATGCTGAGCAGGACTCGGTGTCTGCGTTGCCGCGAACACGGTCCACTTAGGGCGAAAAGTTCCGCTGCTGACGTTGGACGGCATTTGCTGTTTGGCCTCGTATCCATGTTGTCCGAGCCCGCTCGAGTGTCCAGATCTGGAAGGGATCTCCATTTGCCCTCTTCTGGGCCTCCCCGTGGCCTTGGCTGGATTCGGGCAAATTTTGGACCCTCGACCCCAGACCTCCAACGTGTCGGAAGAATCGTGCCGACGATGCTCGCGCCGCTTTCGGGCTTCAGTGGGCCCTGCTGGGCCAGAGGCCCACAGGGAACGACTCCGATTGAAGAGCCCGCCTCGGGGAAAGTGTCGGGGCCTCTGGGCCGAAGCAGTCGTCGGTGCATCTGATCTCCCAGGAGCCGCAGAAGCGCACGTCCAGATTTTCTGAGTCCCTCCTCCTCCTCCTCCTCCTCCTCCTCCTCCCCCTTTCCCTCCCCCTCCTCCTCCTCCTCCTCCTCCTCCTCCTCCTCCTCCTCCTCCTCTTTCTCCTCCTCCTCCTCCGCCCGACCCCCTCCACTCGGCAGGTGCCCCGCCCGGCAGGCGCCCCCAGTGGGCGCGAAAGAGAGTCGCGCCTCGCGCCTCGCGGCTCGGGTTTGGAGGGGCGCCAATCTCGCGGGCGGCGGCGCGAGGGCACGGCAAGATGGCCGCCTTGTCGCGGGGCGCGATGCGCGAAGGACGACAGCGACGACGACGACGACGACGACGACGGCGACGACGACGACGACGGCGACGACGACGATGACGACGACGACGGCGACGTGTCGGTCCTCTGCCTGACGGGTTTCGAATTCTGACGGCCCCGAGTCTTGCAGGGCTCCCGACGCCTCCGTGGGGCCCCCCCCGCGGAGACCTGCAGGGGCCTCCTCCTTTTCCTCAGGGGCACCCATCGGGGGGGGGGATGGCCTCAGGGGGGAATGCAGCCACCCCCTACAGTCGGGGCCCTGAAGAAGGAACCCTTTTCGTTTGGGAGGGGCTCCGTGTTCCTTGCTTGTTGTGTAATTTTCCTTAGGTTCCCCTAAGGTTTTCCATAGGAGGTCGAAGTTGAACTTTTGTGAAAAAGGGGCCTCGTTCCTTATTTAGGGTTCCTTAGGGCAACGCCCCGACTGTATCGCCCGATGATCGCCGCCAGGGTCACGATAGCCGCTCGAGCCAGGAGCGCGCGGTCTCGCTACCCGGGGCCTATCGCCTACCTGTCGGCGGCGATGCGTCGCCGGCCGATTCCAAGTGTCGATGCTCCCCCGAGGAGGAGGAGGAGGAGGAAGAGGAGGAG